TTGGATTGCTACCCTAGATCTCTCCAGGGCCTCCCTTAATTCACCTATCCGCCCCTCTCCCACTGGTCCTGTATCCCCAGCTAGAAGAATCGTATAAAACGGTCCATCTGATTTTGTCACTCTCCTCTTGGAAACCTTCCACTGGGCTTTTTGGTGCCCCGAGGATAGCTTCAATTCCCCACTGTGGCGCCAGGTGCTGCAGAATCTAGTCCTGCTGACCCCTCTGTCCTGCCTGTCCCTCCTCTCCTCCTTTGCCTGGTGGCTGTCCATTTGGGCTCAGCGGATCCGAACTTTCTCTAATCGGAACTCCCTCCCCTAAGTGAGGCCAGCCTGAACAACTGCAGGATGGGAGACTGCCGAGGCATCCTGTTCCAGTGCAGATTTGTCTTTAGTTAATTCCGTGGTGGGGCCGAAGGTGTCAATGTTTCTGCTGTGTTGCCCCACCTGGGGGCCTGCAAGGAGTGCAGATTCTCAGGCCCCCACTGGACCTCTGAATCTGCATGTTGGCAATTTCAGCACATAAGTGTCTGGGGGTGCTGGCGGTGAGCATGTCTTAGGAGCATGTGACAGCTTCTCTAGTGACTCCCTGGGGAGGGTAGGGGTGGTCCTCTGGGATCAGGGTTACGCCAGGCCTGGCCCACGCACCCTGATTTCGTAATTGAGTGTGACCTGTTTGAATCTCTATTCATGCGCTACTCTATCCCAAGCAGTTTGGGAGTTATTTCTGTTGATCAAGAGAGAAGAAACAGACCTGGCCAGGACAGGAAGAGACAAGCTCTGAGAGGTGGGGGGTAGATTTGCTCAGTGCCTGCTGCCACTGGCCCAGGTGGCATGTGCCAAAATGACCTATGTTTGTAAAGGGGTGCCCTGGGAGATCTGTACACATTTTCTCAGCAGGCTGGGGTCGGTGGTAGCCTTTCTTGGATTGGTTTTGATATAATTTCCCAGCTAAATGGCACGTGTCCTTTGGGACAGAATGCTGGAGGGAAGGCCACCAGGCTAAGGGCCAGAGGTGACTTTGTGATGCAGAAAAGTTCTGGCCTTTTGTATCCAGAGGTCACGTATCCAGAGGTCATCTTCTCACTCCTTGAAAGCTGGGCTTTCCAGTCCCGCGGAGAGGCCAAGGTCTGCCTTGGCTGTCTGCAGATCATCGGAGCCCACGTTCCCATCATCATGGCAGGCCCCAAATTCCCTGCTTTTGCTGAGTTCTTGTTCTCTTGCTCTTACAACTGTTCCTTTATCTCGGTCCTGCTATTGATCCCAGCCCTGGTTCCCTGCCTCCCCTGCGACTTTCCATCAAAGTACCCACAAATACAAGCTGGGAAGTTGTAACGGTCACTGGAAAAGCACGGCATTGCCGTACAGAACTTCAAATGGCACAGAAGACAGAAACACAGATTTCCTGTTCCGGAATGTTTTCCAGACCACCCCACCTCCAGGCTTGGCGGCCACTGCATGCAGTGCCTAGCCTCGGCCCATCTTGTTGCCCTCTCTCTTACTCCCTCTTTCAAGTTCCTCTGTAAATCCCCTTTCTGAGGCAAAGGGAGTGAGCGCTCTCCATTCCTATGCCTAGAGTTCCCAGACTCACCTTTGCACAGCACAAGCACATCAGGGCTCTTGGCTGTAGGAGAGGCCTTCCAGGCCATAAGCAGCACCAAGGACCAGTGGGGACCTGGCAGTTAGCACTCCTCCTTTCATAGGAGGCATCCCTTGAGTGGCACTTGTGGTTTTAAGTAGCAATTTTCCCCCTCCCTTTAGGTTATTTTCCAATAGAAGGCTGAGAGAATCTACAATCTTTACGTCATTCATTCATTTACTCACTTACCCATCCGACACATGTATTGAGCAAAGTCAGTGTGCTGAGTGCAGATGCTGGGGGAACAAATACAGACAGCCTTGTTTCCAGAAGCAAACTAATGGGTTGCTCACCTCACCTGCAGGCTACGGTGACAGTGGAAATGATTAATGCCCTGGGTACTGCCCTATGCACTGAAACCTAAACTCGTAAGATGTGATGGAGGGAGGTGAGTATTCTTTACCTTGCAAAATGATTCACTGCAGGATTAAAGCTGGAGAATTTTAGAATTTGAAAAGACCTCAGGGGACCCACTCCTTCAATCTTTTCATTAGTTATTGGTGAAAAGTGAGATTTAAAAAGCTTAAGAGACTGGCTTAGAGTTATTCAGCAATGCCAGAGCCAGCGGGTCAGAGCCAGCGCTGTTTTGTTCATTCTCAGTGCTGGTCTCTCTTTCCATCAGGCCCTGTATGATGTGGAGATGCTCCAATGATGCTGCGGCTGCTGCTAACCAGGTCAATATTTATTGAGTGCTTTCTGTGTGCCAGACACAGTTCTAAGTGCTTTTTACCTGTTACAGCATTGCTGTCACGGCAATCCCGTTAACAACACTGAGACAGAGCTGAGACACAGAGAGAGCAGACAACTTGTCTAAGGTCACACAGCTCAGGAGGACTGGTCTTGGGCTTCTTATCCAGGCCATTTGACTTCTGAGTCCATGCTCTGAACCACAACACTGTGACTCTCCGACCAGCAGCACCCATAGAGAAATTGTTTCCACTCACATATTGAAAGGAAAGTACTTCAGTATTGAACATCATTTCAGTGCTAATCGGGGATAGTTTAATAAAACCAAAGGCTGGTGTCATACCTTTTGGCAGATCTTTTTAAAGTTGCCATATATAGAGCTGCCATTAAAGTTTGTAAAGCTTTGTGGATAAAAGTAGCATGAAAAGCAGTTTGTATGATGTGTGTGACAATAAACAGAATTGTGATCCAAATTACAGGTGAAATGGGACAGTGGCCCCTGGGAGGCTAGAAATACCTGCAGAGGCTTACAGAGTGAGGTGCTTGTAAATAACACCATTCAAACCTCAATTGTGTGTGGGTTTCTTGAGAAGTAACTCTATTTAAGGGACTGCTTATACAAAATCAAGTTCTTAGCAAGGATTGCTTTAAATATTTTGACTTGAATGAAGGCCAGTCATGTTCTGCCATTTTCAAAAATCTTCTAACTGGAGCCTTAGAGTTGATTTTCTTTTCATTTGTGATTAATTTTCCACTCCCACCCCACCCAGCTTTTATAGTCCAGAGATTCTGAGAGTAGGAAGTCCTAGTAAAGCCCAGAATCTAAAACAAATCAGACCAGTCAGTTCTAGTTAGCTTTTTTCCTTTCAGTTGTTAGTAAAATAAACTCTGAAAAGCCTAAACTTTAATGCACCCATCTCAGTAACATCTCCTCTAACGATGGGAAGGCGTAGAAAAGAAGAAAAGGAAACATTATGAATCTTGTGGGAACGCTGGAGTTTTGTCTGTTATCACAAGCAGCGTGAGCCCGAAGTCATTTAAATCCTCTGGGGGTGGGAAACATAATTATTTGCAAGGGAGCATTATTAGCTAAGTACAAATGGTTTGCTATTTGTTTTCTCTGTTCTTTGTAATGATTACAGGCTGGGGATGGTGTTTAGTAACAGGATCCAGCAGGTCAGTGATGACAACTTCATCACTGTCATTAACACCTTTTGTTTGCAGTGAACACAAAAAGCTATGCAGTATTAAGAGAGTCAAGAAAAAGAGAAATAAGAGGGGGTGGAGAAAGTGAGACAACCAAAGAGACAGCCAGGGAACAGAAATTGATACATTATGTATACCAGAAAAAAATACCCCTGGGTAATTGAGTCAGCTGACTCAAATGGTGTAGGGGCCTCAGTTAGAGGAACAAATTTTGGACTCCTTGTTCTTTCTGCCAAAAGAGTAATTGCTCATGTTTATAAATGCAAATGTTTTTGCCATTTTGGTTCCTAGAAATGCCCTAGGGAGACGTTATTTTTGGTAAGGGGTCTTCCTGCTTCAAGTGTAATGACTGTGAACAACTAGTTTCAGTATCTTCTATAGCATGCCAGGGTAAAATGAAGCAAAATAAATACAGGAAGTGCTATGACCTTTATAGAGGATCTACTGGGTGCCAGGCAAGATACTTTTTTTTTTTTAAGACAGGGTCCTGCTCTATTGCCCAGGCTGGAGTGCAGTGGCGCGATCTCGGCTCACTGCAAGCTCCACCTCCCGGGTTCACACCATTCTCCTGCCTCAGTCTCCCAAGACTGGCAACTACAGGCGCCCGCCACCATGCCAGTTTTATTTTGTTCTTGTATTTTTAGTGCAGACGGGGTTTTCACCGTGTTAGCCAGAGGATATGTCTCGATCTCCCTGACCTCGTGATCCACCTCCCTCGCTCCCAAAGTACTGGATTACAGGCATGAGGCACCCGCCCCTGGCCAATGCTGCAATCTGACTCACTGCATGCTTTTCGCTCCTGGGGTTCAAGCGATTCTTCTGCCTCAGTCTCCCGAGTAGACTGGGAATTACAGGCATGCCACCACCATGCCTGGCTAATTTTTTGTATTTTTAATAGAGACAACTTATTTTTACATGTACTCTCTTTCATGTCTGGCCGCGCCTCTTGAACTCCTGGCATCAAGCAATCACCTGCCTCAGTCCTCAAAGTGCTCGCCATTGAGCCACCCGCACCGCAACGCAAGGTGCATTTTTATGTGTTTTTCTCCATCTGCTCTTCTCAACACCTTCGGCGGTCACAAAGACCCTTATTACTACTTTTCACTGCACGCACACACATCAAATAGAAAGAGGTTACACAGACTGCTCGAAGATCACCCACGCACAGAGCAGGGATTTGATTTCAGCGTGTGTCTTGTTCCAAACTTACTACACAGCACTGCTGGGGGCAAAAAAAGAGCAAAAAGCCAAAACCAAAAGGTTGCTTAACTGAAGTCAAAAGACGACAAGAAAAACGCAGGCAGATGTCAGGTCTGATCATGTGGAATAGCTCAAATGATAAACAGACCCATTGAGAGAAAGCTGTTTAATTAACATTCATAACAATATGTTCTGCTTTATTGGGAATTCTACTGCTCGTCCTCCTGGGGTGACCCCTCGACAACGACATTCGTCTCTGTTTTTAGCAAAAAAAAAAAAAAAAAAACAAAAAAAAAACAGTGGGTAGAAGATTAAAGTTTGATATTTGGCTCATGCATAGCTTTGTCTCATTAATATATTTCATGCTTGCCTGTCATTTCAACTTTCTGCTGCCAGACCAAGCTCCTTCAACGGCCATTCCTACTTCTGACACTCCTCTTGTGCTTTTCAGGACAACTTTATGCCTATTGTGCCTTGGATCTTGAGAAGCATATGGTAAAACTGGTCAATGGTGATGGCAGGCTTAGCAGGGAATTAGATTGTGGGGGGTGGCGGGCTGGGAGAGAAAACAAAAGAGGGTATCAGGCTACTTGATGACGGAATCAGGCTGCTTCTGCAATGACATTACATGAAATACCCGAAATTTGACCTTAACTGTGTCTGGTGGGTCCCGTTAACCCTGTAAGTTATGGACAGAACATTTACTCAAATTCTAGCAACGTCTAAGCTCATGGAAATACATGACCAATTCAGGTGAATGAAAGGGATTTTAAAACATTCATTTCCAGGTTAGGTCTTCCTAAGACTGCCTGCGTGTCCCTTAACACCACGCCAGCCTGAGTGTCATATGGATCCTGAGTGTGGACTTGTGTGCACACTGTAGAAAAATAAGAAGCAACTGAAAACCCCAGGCAGGGGGTGGAGTGATGACGAAAGACACCGAGACCGAAGATCGGGAAGCTGGAAATTCCCCCCCAGCTTGGGTGTTTGGGCGCTATCTCGCCTCTCCACTTCCCTAAATCACCCTCGTGGTGCGAGTGTGCTCGCAGTAGATGCTTCCTAATTGTCCCTAGTATTGACCGTAATACCCTAACGACAGGAATAATCTCTCTCCTTCTATTTCTCAACACCATTTCAACACCCAAACTCAAACCTCTCACCTGAGTGCAAGGGAGTGGTGACCTTCTTAAGCCAAGAGCTCTTCCATCAGGGGGCTCCCTATCGGCATCTCTGTTCAAGAGGGGGAGCCGTCACCCACTTTGTTCTGCTTAGCCTGAGACACGCAACTTTTTCCAGCTTTTACTCTTCGCTGAATTCTCACGGCGGGGTTGGGGGGATTTTCAGGGTCAGGAGCCAGGTTGGGGGCCCGGCCCGCTGAGCGCTGTTCAGGGGTAGCTCGGACCAGAGCAGGAGTTTCATCCCCTGCGGGGACAGGTGGGACACGTGTATTTCCAGGGCCACCCCTGACCTCCCGGAGGTTGCTGATTGACACTGTCCAGTTTGAGAACTACTGTGTCCAGGGAGCAGAGGCCTCCCCGGTGCCCCTTGGGTAGTGGGCATCGGGCCCAGGGCTTCTCTGGATGAGCGGGGCTGGCAAGAGAGCGCATGGAGCTGGGGGCGGGAGGTCGGGGCAGCGAACAAGGGGGAGAAGGAGAAGGCGGAGGCCGAGGGGGAGGGAAGGGGAGGAAGAGGAGGAGGAGTCCCTCGTGGCCACCCCGAGGGGAGGGCGACCGTAGAGACTTGGTCAGGAGGCGCTGGCAGAGCCGGGCCGTCGGGACTGTGCACCCAGGGGCGCCGACCGTCGGGCGCGCGCTCCCCGCAGACCCTCGCGGAAGGAGCAGGGGGCTGCG